AGGTCTATAACTTGAGAGTTCAGTTGGATTAATTTCTTTTGGAATCGGCCGAATGTTTGCGATTTTCCATTGAATTAACCAGATCACTTATGTACATAAGAAAACTTATTGTAGAAAAAGAGCTCTTATTTGTACATTCACTATAAAGTAAATAAAATTCAATTCAATTCAATTCATTTAAACGCTGGTGCACAAAAATATGAAACTTTGACAAGTCGTAACTTTTGAACCGTAAGTTTTAGAAAAATGAATTAGGTACAATCTCATTAGTGGCTTGAAAAAAAAATTCAAATCAATTCTAATGAATATAAAAAGTTGAACACAAGAAACCATTTTCGATAGTGAAAAATGGAATTTCAAGTCGTAGTTGTGGCTGAACGGTAAGGCTTAGAAGGATGAAGTAGTTACCAATGGAAAGCTCCCGGCAGATACTTAAAATAAAAAAAATGCCCTCACCTCTTAGCCCTACCACCATGATTCTTGTCTGGTCTCGAACTCAGGATCTCTGAGAAAAATATTATTTTCCATATTGACGATAATGGACTTTGCTACTGTTCTTGTTGTATTCTTTTGTCGTGTTACTGCTATATTGTAACTTAAATGACTAAGTATTTGTAGAAATCATGCTTTTTTTTCTTCGCTTTCTTGCTCAGCTCATCCCTCGAATACTTGTGAGCTCACTTCCTGGCCCACCTTAATTATTTCTGCATGCCTTTACCATGTCCCATGACTTTGTATTGTCCCCATTCCTCTTATTTAATTAAAAAAATAATTCCAACCGAGAGTCGAACCCAGGACCATCGGCACATATTCCAATAATCATACCCCTAGGCTAAAACCTTCTCTGCAAGAAAGTGGCAAATGTTCTATATACAAAACTACTTTTTTCCAGTGAAATTCAAAAACTTTTTCTGATGTCATTGCTTTAAGCTTATGAAGCAAAATTTTCATATAATACAATGTAGATAAAAACAAATGAACTAGTTTGAAGCAACAAAGCCGATTAATCTTTTTTAAAATATTATTTATGAGATGTGAAGTACATATATCTTTTTAAAAAACATATAAAAACATAATGGAATATGGAACACTATGTGTACAGTGGAAAAAAAGGAAAAAAATCTACAGGTAACAGAGGAAAACTTTTGCATAAATTATAAAATATACTCTTGGATAAATATGTTTATTTACCTTAAAAGTGTCATTAAAAGGAGGATATTTGACGTTGAAGTTTACATGGGTTGATGAAAAAGTGTATTGAATATTTATTACAGATTCAATGTGCTGAATCAAATAAAAGACAATGTCAATAAATTTGCTTTTGTTATTTGATTATTAATCTTAATTACAGCAGAAATAGAATGGAAAATCCCGAAATAATTCGTAATTATCGGTCTTTTTGACACAAGTAAATGTTTCTTAAGTGTAAGACCATCAAGAATATCTTCCCCAGTTTAATGAGAAATCAACAGTTGTTTAATGTAGGAATGTCAGCTCCAAATCAAATTTAACTTGATTAAATAAATCCTTCAACCAAATGACGTAAAAACGCAACATAACACATAAGTGACGTCAATCAATCACTTAAAACTGACAAAATGAAATGTCAACTTATCATCTGAAAAACCTAAATAGAAAATGTCTACAATTATGTTGTGTTGTTTCAAATAAAAATGCAATGTTTTGTTCTATGTTTAATGCCTGATTGCTAATTTGTGTATTTATCTTTAGAAGTAAGTATATCAATGTCTAACCATCATAATTAATTGTCTACAAATATCTTGTATAATTTTTTCGTCTCCTACGAGTGCTGTTTAAGTTTTTTGATAATGATGAAGGATGTTCTTCCATTTGCTCAATTCTGAACACATTTAAATGTTCAAAAAAAAATTTTACTACAAAAACTGTAGTTAATTGATTATATTTGCATATTTTGTATAAATTTCTTGACATGTTTGTTTGCCTTTCTAAATTTCTGCTTTCAAATTTCTTTAAGTAAATATGATGTGTAGAGTGTAAGTATTAATTTTGTTCCATTATTCTGATATTTCTTTCTGAATTTTCTAAAATAATCATAACTTTTTAATATTTTTAATGATTCTGTTCTTCTTACTTTTTAAAAGTGAGTGTTGGAGTCGTGATCAAACAATATGTATCTTGCATGGATATGTTTGAGTTCAAGTAGATAGATAGCTTATAAATATAGAATATGTAGTTGTTCTAAGTGCTTTGCTATGAAGGGTCTTAGAGCTTCTTTATTTTATTCCTTTTGTTCTGAATAAATTCACATTTTAAATCTTTTAACAAAGGTCATGACAATATCCTTTATCTTTACTTTTTATCCTTCATTTGATAAACATCGCTTTCTTCAAGATTAATTTTCTCAAATTTATTCTTCTTATCCTCTAATAATATTTATTTCCACCTCCAGTATTCAATTGACAATTAATCTAGATAATCTAAAAGACGTTTATGTCGTCTTTTTTAAATTAAACTTACACCTACAAATGATGATTTTATTTTTTAATGACAAGAATTTTTATGAAGATTGCCATTTTAACTTTTAGTTTGCTTGAATTTTGTTTTAATGAAGTTTATTAAAAAGAAAAAGATAATGTAAAAATCTTATTTTTCGTTGTGACACCAAATTAAGGCAATACTTTCATTTTCTTTCGTGTGTCTGGTTAAAAAAAACTGGTAAATACATAAAAACGTGTTTTCAAAGTATTTTATTTTGTTTTGGACTTTTTTCTATTTCAGTAAATTGTTGTTAGAAATGTGGCTAAGAGAAGCTTCTCTTTTATTTATTGGAAAATTTTCTTTAGATTTGGCACAGAACTAAAAGAAAACTGAAACTCCTACTTATTTATCTCCATAATTGACTTTATCACTAATTCATTGATGGTTTCTAAAGTCAGCTCATTGTCTTTCAGGTTCTTGGAAAAAAAATCCAAATTTTTATCTTTGTTCGTTTCTTTGTAAAATAATTTTATTCGCTATTTTTAGTGCCTTTCTCACTTCTTGCTGAAATATTTTATTGTTTAAATAGATATAAATTTAAAAAAAGCAAATTTATTTAAGTTTATAAACTTAATGATTGTCAAAAAAAAGCAAAACAATACAATACATTAAGATATCGGTCTTTTCAACACTTCTTTTAGGTAATTGACATCATAATTACTATAAATATAGATTCATTTTTCTTAGATTATCATGCTCTAAAAATTTTTTTTTTTCGTTTCTTTACTAAAAAATTGATAAATTTGATGTGCCATAAAATTTGCGCTAAACTTGCATTGAATTTCTCTCATATGAGTCATGGATTTAAAATTTAATTTCAATAATCTTTCAAATACAAAATTGATCCCAATAATCTTATTATTCTTTGTCGCATTTAAAAGTACAACTTGCTTTTATTTCTTATCATTTTCATTATTTTATTTCTTATCTTGTGTATATTTGAATTATTTTAATGCAGAGAAAAAAAACAGTAAAGAGAAAAATTTTGATATTATGATTTGTATATTAATGCTAGGTAGAAGATTCGGTGAAAACAATCTATAGATTTGAAATGAGAAAAACATTTTCTTGGATATTTTCAATTAGTTGAGAGATTGTTAGAGTTAATAATCAGGACAATGACTTTTTGCCGTCCAAACATGGATATTTTGAAACCAAACAACAATCTAAAGTACATACACATTGCCATCTATAAGTAATCAGTATGCTGATCATTAATTACATTTAAAGCTCTAAATAGTTGTAATCTGAAAATATAATTATATTGAAAGCACCAACAAACGATAATAAGAAAAAAGAGAAAACAAGAACAAAAATGTTTAATGGCAGCACTTAGATATTTCGGGATTCATGTAAAATTATAAAATTAAGTATGTGAAAGATGTCGGTTACAAAGGTTACAAAAGAATGACCATTGCTTCCTTGAACTTTTTGTTTTCATAGAAGTTGGAATCTAAGTTTAGATATGTTTTGAGAGAGTGAGGAAGAAATTTGTTCGTTTAGCATCTTAAAGTGTCTTCTCATGTCTATGATGAATAAATATTCAATAGTGTCTCCTTCTCATCGTAATCGTTATGTTATCAAATACATATGCACAATACGTATAAATGAGGTGATGTTCTGAGAAGAGTTGTTGATGCAGGTGTGTGTATGTTTTTCATGTCTCAATTATCCGTAGGTCCATTGTATTCCACAGCTATCTTTTAACATAAAAATGAGTTTTACCGTACAGAATAAATAGAACACTTTTTTTCAACATCCTTAAGGATCATACTCACGCGACATTAGTTCTATTATTTCGTTTCATCTCAGTTTTGTGTGTTGATTTGGGTTTATGCAAGTGTAAATAAGTGTGTCTCAAGCAGAAGAATTAACCACTGAATGAAATAAAAAAATGAGTTAAGAGTAAGTAAACAATTGACATGGAAGCTCAATAGATGAATTTAGTTTTTTTTTCTTACAATGTGTTCCATTAGTCAGGCAGCCAATTAACTTTGTTTTCAAGTTTTTGCCATAAAAAAAACTTTTTCTTGTTTTGTAGAATATTCGGAGGTTGATGGCTTCATTTTCATTTTTCATTTAAATATGTTTATAATTTTGTTTGATTTGTTCATCATGGTCAAAATGTAAATTCCAATCTTATGCTTAGCATCAAAGGACGAATGTGCAAACCTGATAATACAAAATATTGCACAAAAATTGTAGACAAACACTCAATACTCATTGTTGAATTGGACCTCATAAGTTTGTCATCATAAATATATAAGTTTATGCTTCTAATTATTTTGTTTCTATAGACAAGTCATACACATACTTATGTATGTACATCAATAGTTAAGTAGGATAGGAACAGGATAAGTTCGCAGGGCTTCCTTTCTTTCTCACAAATAAATGAAGCATGAAAATATTCTACGTATGAAGCATTGCAATTTTAGTACTCAGCGTTCATTTCTGTTTAAAATTTCTTATAAATTTTTGAAAGTTACAATATTTTTTACAAATATCTCTTCTTCTCATCAAAATATTTATTAGTTTTTCTTTTTGTATGATATTTTTCAGATATGTCAATTGCGTATCGCTTTTCCTCAATATTTCCTTTTAGTTAACGCTTGTCTTCATCAATATATTGTCTAAGATAATAATGATTGAATTTAATACTCTTTTGGATTTTCTCCTAAAACTATCTTTCCTCGATAAGTAGTCATTCGTCTTGTTTTTGAATGTTTAATTTTAACTATTATTATATAATCACTTTCTTTCATAAAAATCCTCATTATTACATTGGCCAAAATAAAAACCAGAAGGAAGAAAAGTGTCAAACAGAACACATAAATAAATAATACGTTTTCAATAAGACGTAAACGTGAGAAATTTAAAGCCAAAGTTAATATTTAATTCTTTTTTTTAAATAATTAATTCATAGACGCAATAATAACTTTTAAGTGAAAAAACTCATTTATAACTAAAAACCGAATAATCAACTATCATTCATCTCGCAAAAGATTCAATTCTACGTGTATGTATATAGCTACTGCGTAAATATATGTGTGTATTTTTTCTTATCGGTCGTTCTATTTAGATAATATTAATGATTTCATCTTTTATCGATGAAAAAATTTTATAAATTTAAATTTGGTTTGAAGCCATTTGTAATGAATTTAAATAAAATTTAAGGATATAAGTGCAAACGATTAAAATTCATATGCTTTCTACGTAGCTTTTATAAATATGTATGTTTTATGATGTAAAGATCTGCGCTCAAATAACTAAAAATATGTTTTTCTTTAATGTCTTTTGAATTGAATTCGTTTTTTGTAAATAATTCAATCTCTTGAACCAGAAAAAAAATAATAAAAATTAATTTACCTAAAAAAGCGATTTCTTTGGATGTTTATGTCCATGGACTATTGAGAATCATATATAAATATATATATATGTACATACGTATTTATGTATGTATGCATTTGTAATACATTTTTTATATTCTTTCTAACATGAATCTTTCTATAAAATCATTTAAAATATTTAGAAATAATCTAACGAGATACGTAAAACATAGCCAGCCAAGGAGAAACATCTTGAATTCTTTCACTCATTTTTAAACCATAAAGTTTAAAGTAAAGGTTAAAAAAGTCTTAGGGAGAGCTTTTTGGATTTTTGAAATCAAACAACGAAAGCTATGACTGAATTTTTCTGAATTATTTCACTTAATAAAATTATTTAAACTGTTCTTTCACATTGTCAAAGTGTCTTTCGGTGCGCTGATATATATGTTAAATTGCCATTTATTTGTTACGATTTACATCATGTTTACATCTTGTTTATCACCATTGGCTTTTTCATTCTCGTTATTGTAACTCGAATTAAGATTTTTTGATGATGAAAAGCAAAGTTTCATGATGAAAGGGAATTTTGTGCCTGAAAAGGAATACAAAACAATTTATATTGATGATTAAGTTCAATCATAACCATTCGATTATCTTACCTTTACTTTCAATGGCTGTGTGATTGCATTTCATTATGGCCAAAACGGCTTGAGCAATAGACGGAAATTCAAGTAATCCCGATGATGATCTTTCTGATTTTAGTGGAAACATTCGAACAGCTGCCGGTGGTACTTCTTTCTGTGTGAAAATATCGATTAGCTGTTCTTCGGTGAGACTGGGAGGTGTATTAAAGAAGTGAAGAATCTAAGGATTTTTTTATTTATTTTAAAATAAACTTAAAACGTATCTTAAATCGTTGGTTAAACTTCTTACTTTGCTTGGTGGTTGTATTCGATTCTTGCACGCTTGAGCGAGGGAAAGAAAACGATTGTTTTTAGATCCGGTGTATTCTTTGAAGCTGGGACTGTGATCAGGAAGACTGTACGGATTTGTAACTTCCGATAGGAAGTTTTGTTTCGAAAATCTGAGGGATAAAAACATATATAAGTACATCATGCGAATAGAAATGAGAAAAACGATCTTACGCAATTTGTAATTTCCCATTGCTTCCAATCGGAATGTTATTCAAATGCTGAACACATCGTTCAACGGCAACAGGTTCGCCCATCTGTACCATTGCGGTACCTTCTTTGGTCTTAAGGAATTTTATTCGTGCTACGTTTCCTAGTTTATGCGATTGTACATAAAGTTAATCGGTGATTGAAAAAAATATGTACACAACATATATTTTCTACTTTATCGACGGTATAACAGTTTGTAACTTCTAACTCACCGTATAAGCAAACGAGATTGAAAAGTTTATCAGTATTTGAAGTTGTATTATCAAGTCCATAAACCATCATAACAGCAGCTTGCTGTTGTCCTTGTGTTGCAAATTGTGTCGTTGCATTACGATTTGTGACTGTGATTGATGGTTCTTTCATTAAACTTTGCGGTCCAGCGCTAGTTGCCTTCCATGTTTCAGGGGTGATTGTTGGGGTTGTTGGTGTGACAGCTGGAACTGTACCCACTGCTCCATTTGTCTGTGAGTATTCTGGGGAAGTTACAAACGGGTATCCCGTTCCACCGCTACCTAAGAGAGACGGCTCTGTAAAATAAAGATACAGAAAAATATAGAAAATCATTCAAAATCCCATGCACAGAAGAAGTAGAGTGATGCTTTTAAAACAGATTTTTCGTCTCGGTAGATTCTATTATGACATCGAATTTTGATTTCTTTTATCAAAATAGAAAAGCTTTTAAAAATTTAGTTTGGCTTGAACTTGAAGTAATTGAAATTAAGCAACGTTGATATTCATTTATCATTTTTAAACCTAACAAATGCCAAAAATGTTTTTATTGACATTGTAAAAGTTGTAAAAAAGTTTTCTGTGGATGTATTAAATGCAGCGATTGTTATTAATAAGCGATCGTATTAATGAGTTATTTGGTTATAGAAGAGGAAACTTTCATTTTTCCACTGCTTTTTCCTTACATAAAATATGAGCATTGCCTGAGGAAATACGAGTAATCTTTCTGTATGTACATAAGAGCTATTGAAAGTGACAAGAAAGAAATGTCTATAGAGAAGTAATTTCGTTTACAGACAGTCTGTTTCCTAATTTGTTTTCAATGCTCTATTTCCAAAAAATATTTCTATGCGAAAACAGGTTTGGCGAAACTATGAAAGGCTAAGTGAGCCGAGACAGTGACTTTGTCATGCCCACGGGTGAAAGAAACTTTTGAACAAGGCAATGAATAAGAGAAAGAAAAAAAGCAACAGACATGTAACAGCAACTACCAGCATTGACTTCAAATACAATTGATCTAAATTGTTGAACATAAAACTTTCACTTCTACCGCAGTTGTAAAACGGGCTTTTGAATTTATTTGTTTTCAACGCATATCGTGTTTCGATTTTTATAATAATAACTCATAAATTTTGATTTTAACAAGAAACAGGCTAGCATGAACATTTTGCAAAGTATTAAATTATAAATATCGTTTTATGTATGTATTTATACATATGATTGTTATTTGTATATTTATTTATATCAATCAAACTAAAAAACATCTTTACTGTCTCAACGTTTATAAATTTCAAGTGTCACATTCAACATGAAATTGGTAATAGCTTTTGATCTCTAGCAGTCACATAACATGTGTATCGAATGAATTAATTAATGTTCACTAACAAAAATATAAATAACGCAAAAATTTTACGCTACTAAAGCTCTCGATATAAATAAATGTATTGATACATTTTTCAAATTGAAGACTGTCCAATTTGAGTGAACACACTGCGCTGATTAGAATGGAATCTCAATGGTTTGAAAGCAAGAGAAAATGAAAATATCTATCTAAATTCTTTTCCTTAAAGAAACTTCGCATTCTATATTTCATGACAGGAAAATTTAATTATAGAAAAAAAAACAAGTTAAAATCTGTGTTTTCTTTCTATCACGAGGGAACACAAACATAATATGTGTATCGACAGATTAATTACTCAATAGTTTATATGAAAGTTTTTGATGTCTCTTATCAAATAATTTCAATTTGCAATAAATATCTATGAATTGAATAATGTAACAACTAAGGAAGACTCAAGACTGTTGATTCTAATTGGGAAATTCAAGAACATTGCATTAGCTTTCTTGGCGTATTTGTTTCTGCTGTAAAAACTGCTCTTTTCCTAGACGCATTTGTACAATCAAATTTTATAACGAGCGCGGGAATGTGTGTTGAATTGCGGATATGTTTAGCAAACGCAAAACAAAAGTTACAAGCGACGATCAATTTTTCAACAGCAAATGAAATTTTTTCGTAATGAATTAGATGAAAAATTCGAGGGATTAAAAGAAGAAAAGAAATAAAAGAGCTCTCTCGACGCTATGCTTTCAGCAAAAGTTAAAAAAAAGAAAATAAATGTCATAGAAATTTCGTTCGTCTTAATAGTCATCGTAAGTTTATATTTTCATTTCTAGAATGTCTTACAAATATTAAAATGACGGAATAGCGAGAAATGAATCATTGCTTTCAATATAAAATGCCAGAAGTTTATACTTTTGAGTCGATTTAATTTTTGATCTTCAAGTTCCGCCCGTTTCGATTTGGAATTAGTTTAATCCTTTGGGTTATGAGTTTTAATATGAATCTAAAATTCATTCAAATTCCAATCTCTGTAAAGTACTAACATAAACACTATGGCTTTTACAATTGATGACGAATACGTATTTGACGTTTTAAGGTACAAATGTATAATTTTAGACATACAGAATAAAGAAAAAATTGAAAATCGTCTGTTCTTGTCATGAAGTAAACACTCCGATTTGAATAAAAAAATTACGTAATCAATCAAATAATTAAATTGCCTTGTAAATTGCAATTTCTTTGATGAAAACAAGACGAATATTTCTTGAAGCTTGTATGGGAATCAAAAAGAGAAACAGCAGAAACGAAATGCTAGATCGACTTAAATCCTATCAATCTATAATTATCTTGACGAGAATACATTCTGCCTCTGCGTTTTTTCTATTTATTTTACTTTTCGGTGGCTCATCGAACAATCGAAGATGTTTTGTTTTCTTATTTTTTTACGTCGCTCAAGTCGCTCAAGTCAAGTATGTAAGAGTAAGAAAAAAGAAGTTTTTTTTCTCATTCCCCTGCGATAATTAAACGGAAAACGGGAAAAATGAATGAGTGTTAGCGTTTCACTTTTTAGGGTATTTTATTTCTGGCTTTTGTTATCTCTGACGGCTGATGACGTTAGTATTAAGTAAGACACGAGACTATGAATCAAAATTCTGGACTGATGGACGGAAGCTATCATTTGTTTTCGATATTTGGGTCAGTGAATGTGGCGATTTCGAAGCGCTGTACATTGTGAAAATATTTACAAAAGAATTTCAGTATTTCAATCGAGAATGATATCAGAGATGAGTTATCAGAAAGCCATTAAGAAAACGGGAGAAATTATTTTCCATCAAAATTACGCAACTCGGCACAAAACTGATTCTTGTTTTTCTTGTTTTTCTAGATCAAATCACAGTCATCGCCATCGATGTTTTTCGTACCCGCAAGCTTCAGATAGATAAAATACGATCAACCATTAAAGTTTTTTTTTATTCTCAGCCAAGACATGGCAAGGAAAATTTGTCGCAAGCATTTTTATTACTCTTTTTATCACAATCTATTCGACTATTAAAGTTCCATATGGGCGGCATTTATTTGTTGAGACGCCTCATTTAATTTTTTTCATGTGAATAGTTTGATATATATGTAAAAGTTCAATCAAAGCGAAATTAAAGATAATGAAGTAGCGAAATAAATTGTTTAAACATAATTTCCATTTAGTAACATCATAGAATGAACGTGCCTGAGAACGACAAAAGAACAAAAAGAATTTGGGTGTTAAAAATAACGAAAAGAGTCAAATTTCGTAGAAAGATACTTGACAAAAACATTTGTAATAGCACAACGCCTTCGAGGTCGAATGAACGAAATAGCATGAATGTGTTGTGGGAAGGAAGGATACGTTTTTACACTGATAAGCAAAATTTTCTATACAAACTCTAAGCTATTCAGAACTGGATACTCTACCGAAAAAAACTCTTAAGCCTAAAAGTTTGCAACAAAAGAGAAAATTAAACGTTATTTTTTATCTGACTATCATTCCGAAACATTTAACCTACATATACTCATTCCAATCTTATGGAATTTTAAACAGTATACGCTACGTGTTGGAAACCAAATGCAATTTTAAAATGTCAAGGCCGATGATGTGAATTTTCCTCTTCGCCTTGCACTTTTAAAATGCTACTTTTAGACAAGAGAGTTGTAAATTAATGGTTGCTGATAATTGCGTTATCTTTCGTCTATTTCTCAATTCTTACATATATTATATCCCGAATAGCACACACGCCATTAGGACGACTTAAATTTGCTATGTGACGATTTTTTGTTGGCAGTTCCATGGAATTTTCATCAGAAATCAGCGAAAATCAACGAGGCACCAATTTAACCCTGACATACTAACCCAACATTAATGCTTAACGTGCATATAACTCTAAATAAGCCTAACTTGTGGAATCTTTACATACCCATTACATATTCAACTAATGACTGACTTAAGGTGATAGAATACGGTATGAAATCTATATGTACCTATCTATATATATCCATATCTACATATCATAATTCATCTTTCAATTTGTTATTTAGGAAAAGTTTGCAATTAAAATAATTTCAAGTAAATAAAAATTTTGCTTGTAGTATAAACACGTTTTCCTTTCAAAAAATGGTTGTTCAATTTATTGCATAATCTCTCGAGAAGCTATTTGAAAATGTACATAAAGTTTAAAAGTAAATAAATTCTTCAGTCGTGTCTTGTATAATCTAAAAGCAAATCAATAAAAATCCTAAAAACAGCGTACTTGCCCTCTTGCTTACTTCTTCAGCCTTATGCATATTTTTATTCTTAGATTTAAAGTAATGTTTAATAAAAAAACTTATACTTAAACCATCACAATCTAACAAAAGAAGATCAGGTAATCTGATAAGAACAATCAAATACTTACTGAATGGTGTTGGTCGTGCACCGAAAAGGGGATCCTGAAGTAGAGGTGATCTTCCGTTGCCCAAGTCTTTAGCTGATTATTAGGTTTAGTTAATTTGAACACATACCGAGTTGAGCGAGTGAGACAGAGAAACAAGGCGAGATTAGCGAGGCAGGAAATGAAAAAAAAAGAAGAAGAACTAATTATTTATGTTTTTGATTCTTAACAATTAAATGTAAGATTAAAACTTTTAAAAAGATTATAATTCAATTGGAAATACAAGAAAAATATTTTTAATTTCCACAGCCAAAGATAAGTTTTTTAGAAAGTTTAGAAGCGTTAAAATCTTTTTCAGTGATTTATTTTATTCCTGTTTATAAAAGAAAAACTTTCGAATTTTCGTGTCAGCGCGATAGACAAAATTCTTCTACGCTGGTAATGTTAAACATGGCTATGTTTTACGTATTTAGGAACAACTTTTACAAAGCAAACTTGAAAGCTCATGGTGCCGAAGAAATTGAATTTGCAACAAGTTACAGCAAAATCCAAATTAATGATCTTCCAAATTTATCAGATTGATATCTTTAAAATTTTATGAATATTATTAATGGGATCTCTCCAAAAAAGGTTGACAGTGTTGCTTATTTTCAGATGATTTCTGAACGAACAATTTAACTTTCAAAGCAGAATTTTTTTGCTATGCAAAGATAATTAAATTCGATTACTTATTTAACTTTTTAATTAAATTTCCACATCCTTTGTCACACCACACTCAATAAATCTACCTTGACGCCATTATGTGAAAGAACACGCAGTATAAAAAACATTTAATGCATAATTTCCAGGAAACACTTTTTTTGTATTTTCCAATTAAAATTCAATAAAAACTAACATTTCAATTCATATATACGTAAATCGCTCGCTCACATTCTAAATTAAGAAGAACATAAGATTTAAAACAAAATATATTCAACGAAGAAAAATAGGAATTTGCTTTCAAAATTTACAGACACATCTGTCTGTGATTTTCCCAGAGAAACGTATTCAAACTAAACAAACACATGATGTTTCTGCTTTACTTCCTCAAAGTGTAACTTTTAAGAAAAACTTAAAATTTTCCATTAATAAACTATGACAATAACAATAAGTGTCACTCTTATAATAATATCTACTACAGTGATGAAAAAATCAATTATTAGTGAAATGAATTCTAGAGTATTTTTTTCATCATATTAAAATTTTACGGCGCGGCGCCAAAAATGAGATAATTTAAAAGGAGATTTATTATGACACGAAAAGAAAATCCTCTTAATGATTCAATTTTTCGCATGTCGCTCGTATTTATTTTATCTATTTTACTAAATAATTTTCAAAACAAATTCCAAATCCAGTTTCAATCATCAACTTTATAATTCTATTTCGATTTACAAACATTTAACTTAACATATCTATTTATTTAGCAGTAAGCTTTATTCTCATCATATAACATATTTTCCCCTGATCGGTATATTCCGGGTCATTAATTTTTTTCATAATTTTCTACATTATGAGAAATATATTTGTAAGGAAACTGCCGTAGTAAAATGATTGTGCAGTAAAATGTGAACATCAACTTCAATTGCGCTGCAAATGTAAAAATTATACAAACATGCTCATGAGAAGAAGTATTTCAAGAGTGCGAGTGGCGAAACAGAAAAATGCAAACGGATTAATCCTTTTCTGTTGCTTAAATATGACGTAGAGCAATTCTTTTCACGCCAATATATTTTTTATTATCTCTCAGCGTGTGGAAAAAATTGAGAAAAAGTAAGCATAATAGAAAACTCCTGAACATGAAAGTTTGATCCTTGATAACCAGAGATTCGTAGAGAGTTATAAGTCTTTCACTAGCATTATACTTAGGGATGAAAACAAGAAACTGCAGATAGTGAAATTCGCAAATGATGATGATGATGATTATGATGATGATAATAATGTCATTATTTTCGATGAAAGAATCTTGAAAATCTCATTTAAGAAAAATCATAGAGGAAGAAAATGAAATCAACAACATATAATTCTGAATTAATACTATGAAAACAATAAAAAAAATTTGTAAATAAGGCTAAGAGTTTAGAAGCATTTTTCAAAAATCGGTGCATTTAATCCTTTTACTGTTTAAAATAATCTTTTTACTGTCTTAAAAGAACTGAATGAAAAGTAATGCGTATAGAAATATGGAAAGAGAACCGCATTATAATTTAAAGCAATAGCTACTCATTTCACATTATGAGCATTTCAAATTCTTATTCTCTCCTTTTTATGTAATAGATATTCTGGCTTTTGTTGCAACTTGTTTCCAGAAAAAGGACTCATTGCTCAAAAGTAAACTAAGATTCAAAAATTAAAACCTCAAATAAGAAAAAAAATAAATATTTACGTTAGCTTAGAAGTTTAGAAATTGTTACTTGAAGCATCTGGCTAATGTAACCTGAATAACACCAAACTGAACCTTAGCTCGCAATCACTTTTCTTTTTACAATGGTAAATGAAAAATATTATTTATTAAGACAACAAATTCGAGAAAACAGAAAATAATGAAAAATAAATTGAGAAAAAAACTAATTTTTGCATACTTCTCAAATATATAAATTATTCGGCGAATACAAATATTTGTAAATTCGGGTTTTAGCTAGTATTTGGCCCACCGAATATTTTATATGCCTATATAATATTTACAGAATCTCAAAATTTTGTTCATACAGTTTCCAATGCTTCTATTTTTCAACTTTCACTTCTGATATCAATAAAAGGGGTCAAATAGCCTCATTGGCTTAAGTCGCTTGGAGTCGGGCGTACAATTCATACGTCCCGGGTTCGAACCCCGACTTGGTCATGAGGTATAGTTAAGTTTAGATACTTCGGCCCTTTAGTATAAATATATACAGATAGTTATTATTAGTAACAAGTGAGGAAATGGCTACAAGCTCAAACCACTATAAATAAGTTGAATCAAAAAAAAAAATCTGATATCAAAGAATCTTGAAGAGCTGGAAGAAAATGTTGTAGCTATGAAATGATCTTCAACTAAGGCTCTACAACTTTGTTTTTAATGCTTTTCATTTTATTAATAAAAAATAAGAAAAAGATCAATTCAAAAAATATGAAGTTTTTTTGTATGGTCAAAAAATTGATCATACAGGGAATTAAAAAATATTTTTCCTGCTTTATTAATAAATTTTATATTGTATTGTTCCACCTTTAGCTTCAACTAGTCAAAATAATCGGCTAGGTCTCGATTCGACAAACTTTTTAGTCACATTTGATTTGACTGTTCTACTTGACACCATAAGCATCACAAATTTAATTTTTTTTGTTATAAACCATTCTTCTATTAACGTTTAAATATTCTTAATAGATTCAAGAATAATAATATATGTCAGTCGAGGACATAATCTTAAGATTTTTTCATCAAAAAAATTATTTAGTGCTTATGAGCATGGATATTAGCATGCATTTCAAGACTAAGAAATTGAAAACTAAATTCAAAACTCAACAAATAATTTTTTTATGACACTAAAGCTACTTAAACTTATTCATATGATCTCTATGCTTTATTTAACAAAATATTTTGGAAGATGGTATCATCACATGGGGGAAATATAAGCCTTACAAGAGATACATTTTGAAGACACATTTCACCAAAATATCGTGTAAACCGAAATATTTTTTTTACACCGCATATCGTTCAAGTGATAACTTAAATTAATAGAAGGCATCGAATTAACACTAAAAATATTTATTATTTTGACTAGTTGAAGCTAAAGGTGGAACAATACAATATAAATTTTTTTAATAATAGCTGGAAAAATATTTTTAATTCCCTGTATGATCAATTTTTTGACCATACAAAAAAACAGCATATTTTTTGAATTGATCTTGTTCTTATTTTTTAT